AGTTTAAATTTAATTTACATTCAAAAGGCATATCATTATTTCACAATGTTTAGTTATTCAGCACATATTGCTGGATTTTAGAATGTAAAACTTGAAGCCAATATGCAGTGGTTTGACTTTCTCCAAGAACAACAGTCCTTGCCTGCTTAATTAAAATTTATCACAGTTATTATTAGTGTGCAAAAGAGGGACAGCACAGGGCAATTTTGCCTCCTGACTTGGAAGCCTAGAAAGACCCAGCCATGAGACTTAAAGATCCGATCTGCTTCACTCCCTGCACACTAATGAACATTTTAATCAGTGCATGCTTATTAAAATGCATTTTACCTTCAATCTCTCGTGTTTCACACGGACATCTACTATCAGCAAGTAGGTTAACAGGGAATTTATTTTTTTGCCAAGGTGTACAGACAGACTAGTCAATCAGAGCAAAGCCTCTGAATTCTCACACACAGGCTTGACATGCTGTGTAACTTAAAACAGAATGGGAAAAAGCTAAACCATGACAATTGAGATCCAAAGAAAGACCAGCTCATTTGTGCCTAAAAATAAGATGTGATATTACAAATCATCACCCGTGCATTGTTCAGTCTAAACCTCCTGACTAGGCCTGCATGTGCTGTGGTGTGAGGGCAAAATTGTTCGCTATTCGCACTGCAGAATAAATCACACTGCTTTTATTAGCAGCTCCGCCACAATGGTTTCAAATAGGCACAGTTTTATGAACATTATTACTGGGAGATCATGTGAGGCTTCACAGCATAAAGAAAGCACTTCCTGGAATTCAACACATTTAAACCAGAAAACAGGTCCATCGGTTCACTGACCATGTAATTTATCCAAAGTGAAAACAATCGGAGGAAATGTTCTTCTAAGGCTGACTGTGCAAAATGACCACCATTTTTGTTGGCTATACAGAGATGTAATGTTTAAAGGCAGCAAGAAAGCTAAAATTGTCAGGGGTGTGTGATAACTGCAGGTGAGGTAATTTGTTCAGTAGTTAGTAGAACCGAATAACGGTGATAATGGGTTTTCTCATCCCATTATTGAGGTTTATCTGGCACACGAGGCTGTTAAAGGTCTGAAAATAATGTTGAAATCATGTGGCAACAGCTTACCATCCTTACCCGTCATCGACAGTCTGTGTTACACTCCCAAAGGGACACTAGACTCGCAGAGAAAACTACTATTCATGTAAATAGCACTGACTGAAGTAATTACTTTGTCCCCTTGTGAAGGTCTAAGAGGTGGTAACAGGTCAGAACAGATACAAATGGTTATTTCTAAACACTATGCACAGAGATAATGAAGGGAACAATTTGAATGTATCATTGGGTAGGTGCGTAACTGTTGTGCCTAGCAACAAAGCTTCTGCTGTTGAGTGCTGAGAAACAAACTGCTGTTCCAATTTGTTCCTCAGCGTGCAATGTTTAAGCATACAATGAAATCTCAACTAAAATATTTATTTAGTTATATGTACATCAGTTAATATATTCTATTTTAAAATGTAATTCATACCTGTGATGGCAAAGCTGAATTTTCGGCATCATTACTTCAGACTTCAGTGTCACATGATCCTTCAGAAATCAATATGCTGAATTGCTGCTCAAGAAACATTTCTGATTATTATCAATGTTGAATACAGTTGTGCTGCTTAATATGTTTGTTTTTCAGGATTCTTTGATTAATAGAAAGCTTAAAAGAACAGCATTTATTTGCAACATTATATATATATATATATATAGTTCAGTCATGAAACTCTAGATGGCGCAGGCTGACGGGTATTAACGTAACTGATGATATTCACAGCGTTAAACGACTTGGCACAAGCTGATTGGTTCATGTTGCATACGCAGCCAATGAGCTTGCTACTTTACATTTAAATGGCTGGTTAGCATTCACTTCAGCATTTGCAGTGTGCGTTCAGAGTTCCTCTGAAATCCACCACCTTCCCCAGCTCCACCTGTATACAGCAATAACCAACAGCAGCAGCAGCAGAATAGCAGATCTATTCTGCCAAGACCAAATATATTAACATTGTCATAAACATTACCATGCTAAAATCTTCCAAGAGTTGTCATGATTGAAATGTCTTTATTGTTACTATTGATCAATTTATATATAATTGTAATAGAGTACAAAATTAGAGCCTTTACTATTCACATTGTACTTTAAATCAAGGTCTGAGTACATGATGTTTAGTTGGTGTCCTCTAAAATTAATGACTCTTTTAAACTGACTTCCATCTTCCTCTGCACTTTTCATCAAGCAATTAGAAAATTCTTAAACATTGTGTAATCCTGTTACAGACTTGTAAATTTTCTAAAGTATAATTTCAATGGCTGTGAAGAGGATTTTGCTCTTGCTCAAAGCTGGCGTCCTTGTACTTCAATATTTATGCCACACTTTCTCAATTCTGTCTCGAAAGGCAATGAAAAGAAGCATCCAGAGGGGAGAGTCTCAGCAGATACGTGGATTCCCTGACGGCAGATGGAGAGAAGACCAAAGAGAGATCTCATACACGTCAGCATCACACGCATTTCCCCTCAAACCCAATCTGACATCATGACCTTTAGGCCCGTTCACCTACTCACCCTCGTAGTGCAGAAGAAACGCTACAACTTCCAGTACTAGTTAGCTCAGCTGGTTGACGTTAGAGGCCGTTTGTGAAGTGTGCCAGCAGCGCTGAGTGGCACCTTCACTGAACAGGCAGAGAGTGTGTTTGAGCAGCTGGCACTGTCATTCATCCTGACACCTCTTGTGCTCATGGTGAGCCACAGCCAAATGACAAAGCTCCAAACCTTTGTATATCATTGACTGTAGGAGACTGAGCCAATTAGAGCTGTTTGTCAGGGGATAAGCAATCATTAAAAGCCACAGTGTGGCAGATTACCCTCTAGTACTGACTGCTTTCCATACTTGAGCTGTTCCTTTGCATATCCTTCATGAATATGTAAGCATTTTCTGTTTTTGAGAAGGAAGAACTTGTTTTGACTGTCGGGTCCCTTACTTTGTCCTCAGCAGATGCACATTTATAGAGAAAGAGCAATACAACAGCCAGTGGAAAGTGGTGGGCACTTGAGGCTTGAGGCAAGGCGAACTTCATCAATCATCAGTTGTCCTGCTTTCAACATTGTTAATAGTCAATGTAGTCACTGATAATCTCACTTTAAAAATGAAAAAGAAATGTGTTGTGTTGTGTTAAAATGGCTTTTTCAGTGGCATTCAAGATTGACACATATTATGATAATAGATAATACAGCAGAAAATATGTGGACCATCTTGGAGGTAACTTAACTTGATGAAATCTTGTGAGCAAAAGACTGTACTTCCCTCTACTGGTGATTTTATGGTAATGTGTCTTAAAATACACAACTTTGCTTCCACCTTGTTTATGCAGCTACTCAGAAAGTCATCTGCTGTAGACTAATGGTTATTTTTTCTCACTGCTGTAACATTAAGCCTATAACATATATGTGACCCTGGACCACAAAACCAGTCTTAAGTCGCTGGGGTATATTTTTAGCAATAGCCAAAAAAACATTGTATGGGTGAAAATTATAAATTTTTCTTTTATGCCAAAAATCATTAGGATATTAAGTAAAGATCATGTTCCATGAAGATATTTAGTAAATTTCCTACCATAAATATATCAAAACTTAATTTTTGATTAGTAATATGCATTGCTAAGAACTTAATTTGGACAACTTTAAAGGCTATTTTCTGTTTTTTTATTTGTTTTTTTGCACCCTCAGATTCCAGATTTTCAAATAGTTGTATCTCGGCCAAATATTGTACTATCCTAACAAACCATACATCAATGGAAAGCTTATTTATTCAGCTTTCAGATGGTGTATAAATCTCAATTTCGAAAAATTGACACTTATGACTGGTTTTGTGGTCCAGGGTCACATATTTGGTCACATGTGTTGCTTCTGTGAATATTTCTCAGGCCGAGTTTATTCAGTTTATTAAATTTCTGACAGATATCCAAAATCTTGACTGCAGAAACTCCGTTGAACATTTCCACACTTATTGCCCAGGAAAAAGAGATTCATTGAATGATCATTCATCTTTTGTGAGCCCTTGTAACAGCTAGTCCTGGTCTCTGCTTGATTGTATCAAGTTGAGCATGTCTCTGGGTCAACAAGTTCTACTAGTGGTCATTAACCCTGTGACAGAAAAGAACCTCTGCATTTAAAAATTACTGTATGTGAATGAGATGTCTGCATTGATTTCTGTATGAGAGTAGAGGACTGCAGTGTTTGCCAGAGCAGGGTCCTATCTCTGTTTGCCTTTACAATAGTTGCCACTTCCTAACATTCTTTGAATGCCACTGCATAGTTATTGACACACGTGTTCTTTAAAAAAATGCTTTTTAATCAGTGTTATTCATATCCTTCTCTTCGTAACTTACATTTCAGTGTAAAGTAAAAAAAACAAAAAAAAACAGACCATATGATTTTGTCACTCAGGCCTTGTTCTTTAGCTTGTTTAACTCTCAATAACTTTTTAGAATTGGATGTCTTCCAACAGATAACCACAACTGGGGTAAGTACCATCTGTTAAATGTCACTGATGGCTCGGCAGATTTACATGAACTTTGGAACACTATTCAGAGAAAGTCAAAGGAGAATGTGTGGGAGTATTAGAACATTCCATGAAAATGCATTGACAATCAGTAACACAACTTAGAGTTCTAATTTCAAACAAAATATGTCAAATAGAGTTCAATTAGTACAAAAAAATGTTTAACATCTCCACTAAGATACTATTTCTACAAATACATATATTTTCATACATATTCATATAATGTCTCTCAATAAACATTTATTAAAGGTAAAAAAATATATAGTAATTATAACAATCTTTTGCTAGAATTCATTTGATGTTCAAATGTAAAAACTGCAAACAGCAGCAAACTGAAAATGAAAACAGCAGAAATGAAGAGGTTAATTCTGCACAGAACACTGTGTGTCTTTTCCTAGGTGATATATAGGGGCAGAGGTGGTTCAGATCTGTTACACACATGCCACTCTTCTAGTGAACGCCTGCTGGACTGCTGCCACAATAAAACGGTAGAGTCAAATCCAAAATTTCTCATTTGAAAAGAATCAAATCGATCGTTTTTAAAATCTGTACCTGTTTTTCCAGAGATGTTCAGAGCATACTTATGGAATTCCGAATTGATAATTCCGACATGATAATCTGAATGTCACAAATCTGACAGCTGTTAAGAAAAGTATATAAATAGGTAGTGCTTTGTAAGTGTTTAATGTTGATATTTTGATCATTGTCTCTTAGTTGGAATGAACCACTTTGTACTGCTATTGTTGTACACACTGGGGACATCAGCAGTGCTGGCAGACCCCAACAAAGAGGAAACCAGACCTTCAGAGCAGCCGAGGCTCTCAGCAGATTCAAAGCCCTCAGAGGAACCCAATGGCCAAAAAAGTGAGCCTTGCTCAAAGGGATGCTCCTGTATCCAAGATGACTACAGTTTAGAGCTCAACGTCTACTGCAGCACACGTAACTTCACCCAGGTTCCCTCCGACATCCCTCTATCCACACGCTCCTTGTGGCTGGATGGAAACCTGTTTACTACCTTACCAGCGGCTGCTTTCGAAAAGCTGTCCAATCTGGAGTTCCTGAACCTACAGAGCAGCTTGCTGGTATCCCTCGATGGCCATGTCTTTAGAGGTCTGAATTCCCTTGCTCACCTGCACCTTGAGAGGAACAATATCCGTTCATTACCTGGCATAGTCTTTCAGGGCACACCCAACCTTGCATCTCTCAGTCTCAACAATAACCAGCTGTCTCGAATAGATGACAAGTTGTTCGCAGGACTCAGCCACATGTGGTTGTTGAACCTCGGATGGAATTCACTGTCTGTCCTGCCTGAGATGGGGTTCCAGGACCTACACGGATTACGAGAGTTGGTTCTCGCTGGGAATCGCCTGGCATATCTCCAACCACAGCTATTTCAGGGTCTGTCTGAGCTCAAAGAATTGGACCTAACAGGAAACTATCTGAAAGTTATCAAGGCAAATGTGTTTCTGAAACTACCAAAGCTGCAGAAGCTTTATCTGACCCAAAACCAGATAGTGACCGTGGCACCTAGGGCATTTGTAGGCATGAAATCTTTGAGATGGTTGGACCTCAGCAGAAATCGTCTATCTGTACTTCACGATGAAACTTTCCTCGGTCTGCACAGTCTACATGTGCTTCGCCTGTCAAATAACTCAATTGGTAGCCTAAGACCCGGGACTTTTCGTGACCTGCAGTATCTTGAGGAACTCTGTCTTTGCCACAACCAGATTCGAGCCTTGGGAGTGAGAGTTTTTGAAGGGCTGGGTCATCTAGAGGTGTTGAACTTGGAGAACAACCGGCTACAAGAGGCACGCATGGGCACATTTATGGGCCTGAATCACCTTGCTGTGATAAAACTTACTGGCAGCTGTTTCCACAGCCTACCGGATCAAGTCTTCAAGGGTCTGTCAAAGCTCCACAGTATTCATCTTGATAGAAGCTGTCTGACAAAAGTCTCAGCCCAAAGTTTCAGCGGTCTAACAGGTCTTCGTCGCCTTTTCCTACAACACAACAACATCTCTGTGCTTGAGCGTCAGAGTTTTGTGGAACTACAAGGGCTGCAACAGCTTGATCTAAGGTTCAACCGGTTAACATCCATCAGCTCCCACACATTTTATGGCCTGAAGAACCTTGATTACCTGCTGCTGT